GCCGGCCGCCCCCCTTTGGGACGGGGGGGGGGGAGCAGAGTTCCCCCCTCCTGCTCCCCCCCACTCCCAGTGACACCCCAGCTCTGCCCCACCTGTGACCAGGGCAACTTCCTCTACAAGGTGGAGAGGGGGCTGGAGGGCCCCAAGTCCCTGCCACCAAAGTAGGGACCTGCCCTGACCACTGCAATGGGGGGGGGGGGGGAGGGGCGCAGCTGAAGCCCCCCCCCTGGTGCTGCCCCCCCTCCCCCTCTTATCTGGTTCTCTTGTCACCTCCTGTGGCCAATAAAGGGGAAGCTGGAACCAGTGGCTCAGCATGTGTGTGTGGGTGTGTGCACACACATCTGTCCCAGACACCTGCAGGGGGTGGGGGTCATCCCAAATGCCTCAGTTGTGTGCACACGTGTTCCAGATGCCTTGTGGGGGGGCAGGGGTGTCCGTGTCCCAAGTGCCTGGGGGCGGAGTCCCGGCTGCCTGGGTTCTGGGGGGAAGTGGGGGGGGTTGAGGGAGTGTGTGCACGCCCATGTTCCAGGCACCAGGGTTCTGGGTGTGCAGGTGGGGGCGTGTGCCCAAGTGTGCAAGTGTGTGTGTACACGCATCCCGGACGCCCGGGTTCTGGATGTGCAGGTCTGTCCCAGATGCCTGGATCCAGGGTGTCCTGCAGGCGGCAATGCCCCTCACTCCCAACCCGCAGTCCCTCTGTCTTCTCTGCCATGCACATGGTGGCATCCGGGACATGAAAACCAAGTGACACCACCAGGGTCTGCAGCCCTGCTTCCCCTATTGCTGCCCCCTAATCGCAGCACAGCCTTGGCAGGGATTATGGGGTGGTCACCTCACAGCCTGGGAGGGAACCCAGACCTCTGGCCTCCTGGCACCCCACTGCCTCACCAATGCAGCCACTGGCACCAAATCCTTTATTAGCCAAACACTGGGGAGGGGCAAAGTGCCAGGGGGGTATGCCCTGTGCCCCAAAATACATGGGGGAGTGGGGGGGAGTCAGTCCAGGGCAGCAGCATCCACGGAGTCACCTGGGGGCAGAGGGAGATAGTTCAGTGCCACCCAAAGACCACTCCGCCCTGCCAGTTCCCGTCACTCCTGACCTGCAGCCCCCTG